TATGTGTGGATCAGGAATGGATTTGGGGATGCAGGATGTTGACCTTTCTCCCTCGAGTAGCATCAGCTGAGAATATGTTTCTGATTATTTCTTTCCCAGCTCTTCAAATGCTCCCTCCTCTTTTCCTCCCTTTTCCCCATGATCCCATTCCAATAATACTCAGTTAGCTGGACATCATGCCTTTCCTTTCTTATAAATTCCAGCCTGGAGTACCCAATGGCACTAAGCCAGGCTGTTTGGGTAGCATTTTGCTCCTTTCCTGTCTGTTTTTTTTTTTTTTTTTTTACTTTTGCCTCATAAAAGCTCCCAGTGCTTTTCTCTTTTTCTTTTATATGGACAAGAGCTAACAAGCTAATCTTCTGTATAGTATGTGCCAAAAATCATCCTTCCTTTCTTTTCTCCATCACCAGCATTGAAAAAGCTGAGTAGAGCCCCCAGACCAATGGGAATGTACAGAATTGTTATACTACTGAGCTGATTTAATGTACAGAAAACCTTGCATGAAATGTTGTAACTGTATTTAATATATAATGTATTCAAGGAATTTTAATATGGAGCTCTTTAAAAAAAAGTCTTTATAGATATTCTGTGGTTACAGGAAGGTTGTTATTTTTTTTTAATATTATACTTTGTCTTGAAGAAGTTTTATTTTTCAAACAGTTTTATGTCTGATCGATTTAATTGGTGATCCAATGGGATGGCTAATTCCTTTTTAAAGGCTATTTTCACTGTGGATGAAGCTTGCCCTGGAGCAGAAGACCAGGGTGTGACCCAGGTACTGCTTAAGCCTTCAAAATAAGGCTTCAGTAAGTCCAGTGCCAAATATATATGTGATTGCACTTCGCCCAAAGGGTAGATTTTGCCTTTTTTTTTAGTACAGATCATCTCCAGCTCTCTGTGCGGGAAAATAACCAGTGGGAATTTAATCCAGTGTGGAATCCAGCCTCCTGTGTGCTCAGTACCAGCCCGGTGATTCAGAAGAATTTCCTTCCGTGTGTCCTGGAGGCTGAAAATCCAGGAATCGCCAGTGGAGGCTGGACCAGGTTCAGAGCGTCCCGGCCCTGTTCCGTGTTGCTCCGTGCCATGGAGTCGGACCGGGCGTTTCGGCTGCCTGGGGCCTCTCCCCGGGCACGTTGCCGCGCTCAGTCCCACCGGCTGCGACTCCTGCGGTCCCTCTGTGCCAAGGGGCACCATCAGGATGGGCAGGATGCTGCTGCGTCCCCTGAGCTGAAGGCTTGGTGCATTATTATCATTTTTACCCAGATACGTATATGGTTTTCTTATGTAGAGGTCTCTATAATGTGTAATGAATAGTGATGGCAGTTCTGTAAAATAAGGAGATTTTTTTTTAAAAAAAAGCTGTTTTTCAAGCACATATAAAAATGATGAAATTTTAAGTTGCTATTAAATTCAAAAAAATTTTTCCTAATTTCATTTGACACCAGAGAGATAGGGATGATTTTACCAAACATCCTTTTGAACCCTCTGTCAGAAAGGCTGTTTCAAGAGAGATGAAGTTTGTTATTTTGTTGGTGGCAGAACTGCCACGGCGCTCTGTTCTGCTCTGTTCTTGCAATCCTTGGTTACAGTTGTGACTTACCAGACACCGAGCCATCGAGTGCCAGAGATCAGAGCCATGTCCCAGCCAAAGGCCTGTGCTTTCCAGCAGCAGCAAATTTGCACTTGCCTTTTTATTGTGAGTCTCTAGGTCACTTTAAAAAAAATGATGACGAGCCCTTGAACCCTGCATTAAGGGTACCTGGAACAGGCATCTCCTCTGCTAAGAGGGACCATTTTTTACACATCTGTGTTTCTTAATGGGAGGGACACATCTTTTTTTTTTCCCCTCTGTTCTTTAGTTGGGAAAGACAAGTTTCACTCTGCTTTTTAATTACAGAGGCTCATAATTGAAATATTTTAATAAAGTAGAAAAATATCCTTAGACTGAATTGTTTTTTCTGTTATGCTTTGGTGAAGGGTCAGGATAAATGATATAGTTATTTATTAAGTGTATGTCACCAGCAGCGTGCTGGGCGCTTTGACATGCTCGAGTGTCTTCTTCTGCAGACATGAGACCGTCGCGTTTGGGTTGGGTCTCACTGAAGTGTTTGGTTGTGTGCAATAGCCTGGAGATGGACACCGGGGTAGCTGTTTCGCCCAAGGGCTTGTTACAAAAGGCAGCCTAGGGGAAAAGCAGCTGGAATTTTTGTGATAACAGAGCTTAAGAATCACTTTATTTCTGTTTTTCTACCTGGCATAGTCAGATCCTTTAATAAAACTCAGTGTCTTTCCAGAGCAGTTTTACCAAGGGATGGATCCTGGGCCAAGGGCAGCGGCCGTGCCCGATGCATCGCGGAGGACGCGCCGGGTGGCAGTGCAGGCTGGTCTGTGAGCACTCCAAATTCCTTTCTCAGGAGACAGTCACCACGTTGGGTGGCACCAGTAAATTAAAGGCTGGAGGCAAGGATCCCTCATCCCTTGAGCAAGCACCAACTGTGAGCATTGGGCAACAGCTTTGAAAACTCCTCTGTGCTGTTTCAGGATGTTGTATCATTACGGCCAGTTGTGGAATGAGCTGTTCCATCTGTGGCACACAATCCTATCAGGAGGTACGTTAGAAATGTAAAAAGGCAGCAGTTACTTAAAGCAACTGAGAGAAAGGAGAGGCAAGAATGATACTGAGAAGTACTTCCTGCGTCTTGCATTTTATTTCAGTAATGTCTTTGCTGATCCAAAAAGGAGTGCATCTTGCATTTTATTTCTATCCAGTAATGTCTTTGCTGATCCAAAAAGGGTTCAGGGTCATGACGCTGAAGCCATGAGTGTTTTTCGTTTGTGCCTTTGAGACTTTGGCACTGCCGTGATGTCTTTCATGTGTTTCCTCGACTCTGCTCCACCAAGGCTGGATGGTACCATTAGATTTTAGAGAAGTCAGAAGTTGGATGCATGGACTTTGTTGGAGGGCTTGAGGAACTTCATTCTTGTAGCAGAAATGTGTCTGGAAGGCCCGTGAGGAACAAAGGATGGGTTTGAAACTAGAGTGTCTGCTTTCGGCGTGCGCAGTGTGCAGCAGAAGTAGCAGGAGGGGCAGTAGGGTCATTTAGAAGCAGTTTTTGGTCCCTCTTGTGTACATCAGATCAGTGGTGCTGCTTTTAAGTCAGAGTCTTGTTCTACGAGCACTCAGATAAATGTTGTGCTTGTGGTTCAGCCTAGGGGCCGTGCCCACTGGTGACCCTTGTTCTGAGCAGTCCAGTGATCTGGGCATCGTGTTGTTTGTGATTCTCCTGAAACCTGACACACAGGAGTTCCCCGAATCTGCTCCTAACTTTTGTTGGATTTTCTCCCTTTTGTTTGTATCTGGAGTGGCCACCACCTCGAAGGAAGGCAGCTGGAGAGCCCAGCTGGGCAATCTGAAGCGATGCCTCCTGCCCCCTGCCCTGTGGGTGGGGGTCTCCTGCGTGCCCCACTTGCCCAACTGGTGGCACTCGTTGCTGTCCGTGGTGCTGCTGGCAAGGCCACATGTTCCCATGGAGCCTGGCTCGTCACCCGTGCCAGCCCCATGTCCCCAGGCCATTCCCAGGTGTCCCCGCTCGCTCCCACGTGGGCTTTTGACCCCTCCAGTGACACTTCCCTGGCTGAGCATGGCCCGGCAGGAGGAGAGAGCTCTACCCTGTGGCATTCCCATTTCCCAGTGCATTTCCAGGTGGGCACGGGGAGCTTTGCACATCGGGAGCGCTGGTTTTGCAGGCGAGGGCTCCACGGGGGAGCCCGCGGCAGCCTCCACGGGGCAGCGTTTGGTTCGGGGCCTGCAGGACAGCAGGGAGCAAGGAGGGCGCAGGGCAGGTTGGGCTCATTGGAGCTTTCCGTTTGGTGCCGTTCGGCTTTCGGGAAGGACAGGGTGTTTGTTAGCGAGGCTGGATGTCCCCGTGTGAACCTGGAGCGATGGAGCAGGCTCATGTCCAAGCCGTGCGGAGGCCGCGGGGCTTCAGCTGAGCACGAAGGACGAGGAAGAGGGAAACTTCCTTGTGGAGCTGCCAGCAGGTGCTATGAGTGTCCT